GCACTAAAACCTTATTGGTCATTTCTTAATAGTTCATATAAAGGAGTTGGCTAGATACTTTGATTTGACATCAAACTGAAGGAGGAGTACGGTTCATACGACCAAAATTTCCTGGTTGTGGTAGTGGTCTCCCGGACGATTGGGCATCTAGTTGTATTGGGTAACTTGGACATGTGTCAAAGGGCGTTTGCGGCGATGAACTGGATTGAGGTTCGGGTTGTGAATCACTGAAGAAAATCCACCTGTTTTGGTTTGGAAAACCTGAGATTATTACATTCACAAGCAAGCCAAGGAGCGTTTACTTTTTATGAAGATTATAATACTGTGATTAGTTTAGCACGTGGAAAAGTAACCATTTAGCTAGTTTTGTGGTTTCTACCGGTTGACAGACAGTTCTTTGCGAAATCTCTATTTACTTGAGATAGCCCGAAATTTCAAACTATAGTCTTTCTCGTGGTTAGAATAAATTGATGCATGGAAGTAGAATGTCCTTCGACTGCATTTTTGCACCAAACTATCGCACATATTTACCTGATAGTTTATACCGTAGTGGTTACAGCGAATAAATTAGATGACACGAACCCGTAAATTTGAGATAAATGGCTGTCAATGAACCGAAATTTATGCTATGTATTTGGAAGTCTGAAAATTGTTCGTTTGTGTCCAGCGCTTGAAAGCCCAATCGGGCCCCCGATTTGTGATCCGCCATTATGGTGGCTTGTTTTATCCCATTGGTTCTACGGTATTTCAAAATTTACGGGAATGCTCAAAAAGGACTTTAGGCTTCTTTCTAGACCTAGAAGAGGCAGGATTTTGCTTCATCGATTAACAAAATACACATTCATGTTAAATGTCATACATAAAATTAATCAACAACCCTTTGCATCTTTGACCCAACGATCGTATGATGTGTTCGTCCTCTTCTTCCATCCAATCTTGCTATAACGATGTATTTGCTCCCAGAATCGCATACCAATTTTATGTAGATTGATTTCTTGGTAAACCTCGCGGTCGGATCTGAACTTACTGATATTGTAAATTGTTTGGTTTTATCCCTGAGTTCTACTGTTCTGGTCTGATTTTACGTGCCTCGTGCCTTATTGGTTCTACTTTTACTATGTGGATAACACGTATTCACCTTTCATGGGGCATAAAGCACGCACTTGACTTGAGTTGACCTGAGATTTATCGTACTGAACATTAGTATTCGGCTTGTTAGATAATTCCATTTTATTTCTGATGCAATTCAATGTCCTAAACTGTTGCTCGTCTAGGCGAAGACAGTCTTGCTTCGTAGCCAAAGGTGTATTGCTGGTTCAGCCATACGCATTCAGCAATGTTTTTCACATATTTTCAGGTTTATAGAAGTTATTGCGAAAGGAAATCAATTATAGGATAAAAGAATGGGTCATTTAACACACGATTAGTTGGACTATATGGTACCAAATGTGCACGAATGGGATTGCATATTCTTCACAGATGCTTTCTATCGGCAAAATAACAAAAGGAGGAATATTTGAGGCAAATTGTCTCTAATCTGATAAATACACTCTATTTGGAGGAGGTGGGGATGGTTGTCGGCTACAACTGGACGGATTTTGAGAGGTGAGGATGTAAATGGATAATGGAGTACTACTTTTCGATCAGATGCGATTTTTTCCCATCACAGGGTTACCTGATGCATAGGCTTGTGGAGTGATACTGTGCCACCTGAATTGGCCAATCAAATCTCAGTTCATTGTGGATAGCTTCCAAGTTGATGTTCGTGGTTGGATTCAGATATATGCATCTAATGATCTGTAAAGAAAGCTGGTGGGACACACACTCTCTGAGCAAAAAGCGAGATAATTTGGCTGATCAACCTTGGGATGCTTCTTGAACACATTAGCAGTTACTTAACTACGATTTACTCCCTGAGGAGGATGATATGGTTTTAGAAATTGATCTCGGAGTTCTGTGACGGCGAAGCATATGAGACGTTCCCGACTTTACTTGTCTTTTGTAAGGAGGTACCACTAATCCTTGTGGAACCTAGCTTAAACTGGACATTATGTGAAATGACTGTAGCTCGGGATATGAGTAATGGTGTGTTCTCCGTGCTAAAAGTGTTGTTCACAGTCTTTTCGAGGCCAGACTAGGGAACATCAGATAATTCTTCTGTAAGTTATTTTCCCATACCCAGTCCCATTTAGCATTCTGATGAATAATCACATCGCAACGCAGCAGATAAAATCTTGCTTCTGCGACTATGCAGATGGAATTGTCGATTGCATGTCCCGACACAAACGTAGAAAAGTATAACGGCTTTTGCATCAACGAAGAAGTAATTTATTCCGGTCAACGACCTGGGATCAATTAGTTTGAATAAAATGACAATTCTCGCGTAATAACATAGATTATTTGGTAAATAATAATGATAATAACAGTGTGAAGAAGTGTGGTTTTCGTGTGAATAGAAAATCCAGTTTGCACAGGTAGCCGAAGATGGATAAATAAATAGAGGAGAACGGGGTAGAGGTCACGAGTGAAGTACACCAGGGCTCAGTAGATTCCTACTATATAGACTCTCGCCCAGCAACTCTCATTCTGTTAGAATTGCGCTTGTGTGTGTATGCGCGTGCCTCCAGAACGCCAAAGGTAGAAGAAGCGACAGGATGATTACTGTTCAATATGCACACTCACAAACGACTGAAACAGTGCGCCCTGAAGCGCGGGCGAATACAGTCCTGTGAACAGGAGGAGGATTGCAAACGGTTTTGCAAATGTGAATTCAACCAGGCAACGCGCGCATGCACGCCCTGGTGCGTTTGTGTGTGTGTGTGTATGTGTGAGTTTGTCTATCTGACAGTTCCCTGGAATGGGAAAAGTGCTGAAATGGAGACAGGGAACGAAGAGGAGTTGTGGTGCAGATTGGCAAAACTACTGGGAAAAATAACAGAATCTCATCTGAGAACAGGAAAAGAAAACGACGATTTAATCAATCTCTATTGGAGTATTTATGATGGGTGGATTGTTCAATGCGAGCAGAGTAGCATAAAGTACGGTGAAACTCACAAATAGACAAGAAAAAGCCAACACTCTTCGTGTATCTGAGTAGAATGGGGAGAAGGATGTCACAAAAATTGTCCATAGGTGGGGATGAATAATTGGGAGAACACCGATGAAAAAATATGGGAACAGGAAACCACAAAATAATCGGAAAAAACCAACAAACAAAAGCAAAACGGACTGAAGTCTTTGAAAAAAAGAAAACGGAGTTCACAGTGAAATCAGGAATGTAACGGAGGTTACCGTGGTGGCAGTTAATAGATGAACGTGGGATAGAGCAAGAAGATACTCACCCGATAAACGCACCGATTTATCCGTACGGGAAGTTCGAAGAAATTGCACAATATCATTAAACACGATGGAGCAACAACACTAAAGACACAGTGTGCCAATGCAGATAGACAAACTAGTCATGTGGAACATGCCCACGTTACAGAAAAGTTCCGAGTCACCGTTCACCAAGTTTCATGCATATTCGTTTATTTTCAATTGAAGTCACTGAATCTTGTGCAAAGAGAACAAAAACTGACGTAAAGCTGGGGAAAGCAAGAACTGCGGCAATCATTTGCTGATTGTACTGGAAATATCTTTTCCAAATGGGTATATTGAGGATAGAACGAAAGAATGAACAACCATTGACAAGGATGGGTTTCCGTGTGTGTGACTGCTGATTGCCAATCGAAAAATCGTATAAAAATACCATTTATGGATGTGGGTATAAAAAGGGATAAATTGGGAAAAAGTTGTCTGTATCATTGTCACCATAATCGCAATTATATAACGGGACCAGGGGGAACAAATTCATGGATCACGAACACATTGATTCTGGTGGGAAACGGTGAGTTTTCCTTCCGGTAAATAGATGTGTGTGTGTGTGTGCGTAGATAAGGTTGATTATCGTTATCACCACTGACGGTTGACACATCTAAGTGTCAGATGGACATGTGGTGATAGAATAAGGAAATGGAGAGCTTTGGCGATACTAGGAAAACCGAGAAAGCTAGTCGAGTACACGAAATGGTTGGTTGCCCGGTGGAGGCTTCACATCAGGAAAAAGAGGGAATCATTCAAGGACCGACAAAATATTACCTCCTGATTCTTATGCACACAGGCACACGTGAAAGGCCGTGTTTTCTTTTGTGTCGAATCACCTGACTACGGAATTGTACGGTGCGTGTGTTGGTTTTCTCATTCATTGGAAAGACCAAATTTCCAAATTGGATACAAGAAAATCTCCGGTTGCACAAAGTGGCTCATTGTCAAACGTGTCGCATGGATCCGTTCGACCGTGAAGTAGCACATCGTCCAAGTGGATAGCAGCATGTCCCCTGCATATGAAAGAGAAAAAATGAGGTCATGTATGCAAGTCCAATTTCATATCATGTATAAAAACAATATGAGCGAAACTGAACGAAAAATACATTGAATAATTAAACTTTCAGTTTGAAATAAGCGAACAAGAGAGAGCCAACCGCTGTTTGTTATTGGACAAAAGAGAAGAATTATGTACATTCTAGTGGCGTTTAGATGGGAGCATAATCAGTAACGATAGGAATACCACGTGAGAATTTGGCACTAATTCGGTTTAACCAGGCCTATTTCCTTTTGATCACAATTTGGGACGATTCATATGCCCCCATTATACACCAGTGCCCCGGTTCAAAATCAACTGGGTTGGTAGGCTAAGATGGGTCGTACTAAAATGAACATTACCCTGACTACCGTTATCTTATAATTAATGAGCGCTGATCTCATAAATTGAGAGAAGTAGTGAAACATCATGAGCCATGTGGTTATAAAAATAGCTTTTAATCTGTTTGTTCCTCCTCCCTCTCCCCAGATAATTTGATGGTGTTTGAACTAAGACATTGACTCCATCCATGACCTTCCACGGTGTGTGTGGTCTTGTTCAGTTTTCTAGCACTTAAGTCAGCAAAAGTGCACCAATTTCCAGTTCTTATGTCAGGATTGATACCCCGAAAATGGGGACCCTGGGCAAGCCATTGACACAGACGTGAACCGCTTAATCACCACCACCACTGACCCAATCAGCGTACGTGTGATAAACATATGCTTCTTGGAATCCCACCAGAGTTCCTGATCTTTTGATAAATCGATCGTACAAAGCCATTATCACTACTTACCGTGTTATCAATGGATTCATTCTGAGCTCAACTGCCTGAAAATGCTACCGAGACTTTCTTGGATTCAGTGTTAAAAAGTGATGAGTCGCAAGAGGTTTAAATCAAAGAACGTTTAACTGCAAATCGATGGGTGACGTTCCTGAAATTGTATGGCACAGTTCACCTAGCTTATAAATGAACTGGATGACCACGGACGGCTCAACATGTCCCTAGGATTCATCAAATAACCTCGTGTGTATCAAATTTGTCTTCATCGATTTGTAAGGACCTGCTAAATCACCAGTAACGTTAGATTTGAGGTCTGCGGTTGTCAATGTCTGCTGCGTATACCGGAATAGCGTTGGATATTATCCCAGGTCCGAACCTCTTGAGTATATTGGACTATATTTCCCCAATTTGGTTGTTTTTACGTCTCCAGATTGTTATTCTTGGAGCCGTTCAAATCCGTTGCCTACTATTATGTAGCACAGCACTATATCACAGGTGAACACCACAAGTGCAAAGAACAGAAGATATAGCACAGTAACACTAGTAGCACACGGGAATACGAGAACAGCGGACTAGCACTAAGTCCGTGGACGGCGAAACACAGGACGCACGGTCGGCTATCGATTTTTCAGGCCTACTAAAACACAAGAGAGAAGGCACGGCTTCAGCAGCACTGGATCTTAATGGCCGTGAACACAAGTCACAAGTCAATTTACAAGGTTTACTCTGATGCTTATATGTGACTCAAAATAGCATCGATCAATGTAAGAAAATGATTGTACCGATCAAGCACACAATGAACAAAGTTCTGTCGGTCATAGGCCATGGATCAGACGGATGGACTGAGTGAATATTGCCGTACGACGCAATATTGGTGATTAATATCCGCGAGATTCGTATTGATCTGAATTGACCGTAATTAGGGTCAAATGTGATGTAAGTTTGTTCAATGTATTTCACATAATTAGCAAATATGCAGCCGGGCTCATCTTGGGTTGAATTGCAATGATCTTCTTCCCAACAGTTTCAGTGAAACAGTCAACGGTAAAAAGAAGACCAATATAATGAGAATCTTCATTTTCACCATGAGCACTTCAAGTGTATTCGGTTTCCATCGATTATATTTCTCGGAGTAAATTCCCCGGGGTATTTGTTGCTTCAGTGCAAATCGGCAATGAAATCATTCAAGTCACTGCTGAATAAATTTTATTTGCTCTTCATACAAGGAATTTTTAAGGAATACTTTTGTTGACTGACAGGCATAAAACCGTGTGAGCTTGTGTACAGACCATTTTTATGTCTTCTCTCTGTGGGCGCACCGTGAACATCATCTTCCCGGGTTGGTGTCACATTGAGCTACCACTTTGACAGTAAACTGTACAGAATTGAGACAGCAGCGTTCAACTTCTGTACCATGTACTTTACATTACAGTCTGGGCCAGCGATGAAAAATGTGTCATCAATGAATTGATGATAGACATGAAAACTTGCGGTCGTAACTTTTAGTCGATATGTTTCTAGCGCAGTCCGACGACGTTGGAATCAACCTCCATTCCGTCGGACTTGCGTCTCAGGTCACGATTGGAAACTGTCGAAATGACTGTTGACCCGTTCGTGAGTATTTTTCATGCAATCATGTGTTCTTCGACAGGTCAATGTTTAGTGGACTATCACTATCCGATTGAGGATTACGCTTGTGACGTTGGATTCCAATGGAAACAGGATCGCTTTGTACAACTCAAGGCATTATAAGCTTTGTACGTCCCGCCCCCGCCCTGGTAACTCAGTTGGTAGAGCATGTGCAGAACAGAAGTGTAGACGGTATCCTTGCGTGGGTTTAAGCCTCTATCCGAGTTTCGAACCCCGCCACGACCGCCACCCACATTTTGGTGATAGGCAGCTTTGCCCTCCTCCACGTCAATATCAAGTTTCGGTGCTTTGAGTTGCAATTTTGCATAAATGAACAACAATAAGGTCCTCGTGAATGTGGCGTTTACTCTGTCTGATGTTCATCATACAAATATGTGTGATAAAAATTGCGGAAGTTTCACAGGAAACAAGCAAGCGAGAACGAAACCATTCTATGCTTAATCAGTCTTGAAGTGTGCTGGAATATGTAAGCGTATTAAACTGTTTACGTAAGTGATAGAATCCGTGGACAGATTTTCTAACTGGGATCGCCGATGATGTTCCAATGCTCTGAAAGAAATGGCTGCCTTGCAATTATTATAACAACCATTAATGTTGTATCAGCTAATATATATTCAATACAAAGTGGAGTATGTTGAGAAATCAGCAGTACGTTTACCAGCCAAAATGAGTTCATGAAATTTCACTTGTGATTGATAGATTTGATGATGTGATGGGTATCACCATAAGATTAACCAAGCAAATGGTGATATGTGCAGATCCCAACACAGTTGATAAATCTTCCCACTTCGTTGCAGTCCCTGGAGCCCCTCTGACTGGTTCCATGTTCCACCTGTGCACGAATATTTCTTACTTCGATGAGCGTCAAAAACATTTGCGATTTAGATCTTAAAATAGAGACAAAGAATTGATTTACTATTTGGTATAATTTTAGATCCCCAAAACGTGGAGTGATTGTTTATGAAGTGGTAGTATCAGAGTTATTCCTTTTACTGTCATTATTTATAGAGAATTACTGGTCGTGCATCGGTACGAGTGAAATAAACTTTAGGATACGGCAAACATCAAAGGGGAACTGCGTCTTTGGAACGACGCAACTCAAGTAAATGGACTTCAGTCAGGTGTACCGCGTCCACCTCCCCCCCCCCCCCCCCCCGAGTGACACCAGACGTATAAAAAAGCATTGAAATAATCAAGACATTCGTGAAACTTAACTAGACCACTTGGAATTTGGGGATCAAAGAGGTGAATTGGAAATTGAATGATGCATATGAAATGATTATGTAACAGAACAGATAAAAAAAGTGAACTTTCTCAAACGCTACTATCTTGCAATGGACCGAGAATGGAGTTGCAAATACAATGAACAGTATGAACCTGGATGACGTAGTGATCATACCCGATCACGTGTTTGGTGAATGAGTGGTTCAGAAAGAATTTCGCTGAAGTCAATGCATGCAGAGATATGAAGTATTACATTTTGGTACTCTGCGTCAGTTCCACTCAGTTCAGCATTCTTGTGGATCTAATAGGCAATGTTTGTCTGTTTGTGTGTGCGGTGCGTAAAGTAGGTGCTGTGAAGCAGCTGTTTCGATAGTGCCAAAATACAAATTACGACTGAACACGGTTGTAAAATATTCCCGTATGATGATGACACACAACTGAGTAAAAACACAAAGTAATGGTTTAGTATATTCTTTCAAGGCAGTCATAATACGTTGTGTAATACGCTACAATTAATATGTGAGATATATGTGAACATACTGAATAAAAACCGACAAGTAGATGAGTGAGAAGGTTTTCTTTCTGATTGGATGAATAAATAGAAGTATGGGAGTAACCATTCTCAAATAATGTGACAAAAATTTTTTCTTCATTACAGAACTAAACTTTCCGTCGTGTTCGACGGGCTATAGGTTGTCGATATGAGCGCACCGTCAGAATTGTGAAAAGTGAATATCGAGGTATTAAAACACAAAGGAGCGTCCTGGAAAATCCGTGAATCAGGTCAAATTCCTACCCAACCGATGCACATCGTCTGAGTATGGCAGTTTGAACTTGCACTATACTATTTAGTTCTTGACAGGACTGATATTAGTCCATGTAGGTAGGCGTTACCAATTTGAGGTCACCTCGTGAGGAGTTCCGTGTAAGAAAGCCACCACAGGTGATCCCAGATCGATAAGAGTCTATTCGGTCAGAGCCTTCAATGATCCATTGGATATAGGTGCATGAACTGGGATTAGACGGACTAAAACATGCGAAGTCGCTTTACACTCAGTGATTTAAAGTAGGTAATTCAGTTTATCGATTGTTCTAGGCATTCAGTGTAATGCGATCAGTTTGTTGTTATGTAAATACGAACGAATATTTCATTCCTAAGTACATTCTATCATAATATTTGACGAGTGGACCGAGGTCTGCGTATGCTTTCAAGTGTTCTTCGGAGATTCGGTGAGATAATAAAGTTTCAAGGCGACCTGAAGTTCTTTGGTAATATTTTCAGGAGGGATGTCATAATTAACAGTTGTTGGGAGATAAAAATAGTAATTCTTACGTTTGAAATTTTCCTTTCCCTTTTTAGGAAATCTTACTTCCGTTCATCTCTTTGTAGGACAACGTACGCCAACATCTGGGGCTACAACCTGGTTGGTGAACCACTGTCAGTTCACCTAGGGGATTTGGCTAACAACCCTGATTCCAAACAGACCAAGAAGAGGCGCACGAACCACACACCTATTCCTGGTCGTGGTAGTGGTCACCGGCTCGATTGGGCATCAAGGTTTATTGGTCACCTCTGAGGTTTGATCCCGTTCAAAGAGCGTATTATCCAATGAACTGGACACCGATCCCCATGGACTGCAAACTCTGTGCTCCGTCCCGTTGTCATGCAGGTTTCAATTTCTAGCCAAAGGCTTCGGGTGGGGACTCCGAGGTTAACCCCCAGTCAGTGCAACCGGAAAGTAACCTGTTCACACAATATATTAACACATTCTACAGAATTTTTGTTAATTCTTTTGAGCACATTTCCCAGTTCTATGCAATTGGTTACGTGTTGAAATAAATTAAAATAAAATGAAATAAAAAAGATGGCAACTTAAGTATGAGATATAATTATCCAGGGAAAATGCAAGTTCATATAACATCTCAGTGTTAAATTGATCTATCAGCTGTATAATCGGTAACTGCTCGTACACAAGTTTCAATGCAAGTTTTCAAGGCCCTCTTTCTATCTGCTCATGATTGGAATACAGTTGAAGTATCAATGATGGACAATTCTATTAGTTGTGACGAGAAGAGCTACTTCCAGACAGTCCTCTATGAAGAACGACGATATTTAAAATAAGCAAACACATGTCGCACTTACTGAGAACAACCGATTGAAAGAGATTCGTTTTCCCCACTGATGAAAAACGCATTCTTTCCACTCCACGTGTATTTCTGTAAAAAAAGAATAAGAATTGTGTGACAAAATGATGCAAAGCACGTATATTTTCAATTCAATCTAATCAGGTTTGAAATACCGCTATCAATTGATTAGGCCTTAGAATTGAAGTGTCTTGGGTTTATACGTGCTCCTCACGCGCGGGAGACCCAATACGCACCAATCAGTTGCACAGGGGTAGAGGTCAATCATTTGACCTGGTGGTTCAAATATAGCCGATTGTCATCGCAGTGAGTCAGTGGAGGTGGGATTGAGCAGACACACATTACATGTAATAAGTAAGCAAACGTACGATAGTTTGCATAACTCCCGGGAAAATGTCCAGTGTAAAATGATCTGTTACACACATGTCGAACAGAGGGTAAAAGATCAATTTGATTAGGACTGGCAGAATTTCCAATAAGATGCTTACAGTGTTGAAATTCTGATTAATAGCATAATTTAAAGCTCAATTGAGGATTCAAAGGTATCGGGAGGCTCACATTGGAAAGATTCCTATGATGCCTAAGTAAAAGCTCGACGCATCTGTCTTGTTTTTATCTCGTTCTCCTCAGAGGAATATACAATACTCGCAATGGTATTCGTTAACTGCTAGCAAAAATGGTGAGTGAAACATGCCAGTCAAAGGCTCTACGAGTTTGGCCAGTATTGGTCAAGCAGTTATAGTTTAACATAACATTTGCCCGGAAGAGGTGCGATCCGCTCCCACCATTTGTAATTACATCTGGTCGACTGTTTTTCCCAAAGCAGCAAATTGACTATTATGAGACAACCTGCTGAAAATTCAATATCAATCTGTATTCCTTATAAAGCATACATACAAACTTATCATTGTGATAATAGGATGCAAGTAAAACTTAATGTACATTAACACGATCAGTAACATTGAACATGCAGTTAGTAGCAGGGTCCATAAGGTTGATTGATACACACCCTGAGCTCAAGGTCGACTTGTGTGTACACGCGTCCGTATTCATGACAGACAAGTGGCACGTGCATGAGCACGTAGGGATGCGAATCATGTTCGACTCAATAAAATCGAATCAGCTGATGTCGAGCACCTAGACTCCGAGGGTCGTTAGGTCAACAGATTGATACCTTGTTCAGGCGAAACACGAAACTGAGTCCGTTAGATCAAGAGTATGTTAGACGAAAACGGAAGAAACATGATTTGAACGACACGAAAATTCCACATTGATCATACGGCCTTCTGGATTTGTACCGAATCTTTTCCCGGCTGAAATTCGCCAATTTTAATGTTGATGGATTTGGACCGTTGTATTTCAACCTGAGCGTTTTAACCAACCAGCTGTTTCCCCCACCTCTAAGAAAAGGAATGAGAGAAGCTTTTGTTATGGAAATCCTTTGTGTATCGGAACCATGGAATGAAAACAGTGTTTTTAGAACTGCAATAACCTATCTGAACATTCGCGTAAGAAACATTCCTCTTCCTTCTCCAGGCCATTTGATGGAATCCCATTAGACTGGGAACTATTCATTCAAAAGTTCTGAGTAACAGTCTTCCATTGGCTTAGTTGGGAAAAGAGATAAATTATGTGGGTCGCATTGGGCCGCCACCCAATGCATACATCTGGACAACGACGTACACCCGCCTTGGGCACTGCCTCTCAGATGATAAAGACTTCATATCCACGCGGTTTCTATTCAAAACGAAGACACAACAACCACGGTAGAAGCTGAAGCCCTTCGCCAGGCAGTTCTGCGTTTATACAGGAGCACTTTTCTTGGTTTGCGAACCGAAGAATACAAATATCAAAATGCGGGAACGGGTAACGCTCAGAGTCTACCATCTACAAATTTTCAAATAGTTCAGAAAGCACCCACATCCAGATTGGTGGAGCAACTGGATGACCTACAACAAGATTAGCAAACAGGTGTTCTACAAAGCTTCAATAGGTCTACATACGGCAGTCTTGTGGTTTATTCTGGCATACCCAGAGGTCATACGGACAATAAATAACTCCACATTGGAACCTCTGAGTCATTTGAAGCATTAAGTCTCCTTTATTCATTTCATCAATATAGAAAGAAGACAAATGTCGCGAGATGTTAACGTTTCGTTTAATCTTTTCAACTGCTGACTTAAAACAAACAAGTACATATATGACACATGGGGTTAATGAGTTATGGCGAACAAACGTGTACAAGCATACAATTCGCTTACATCACCCGACCTTATGTGCACAAAACATTTTGATACAATCAATCCACTAGACGTGAAGTTGACCTGCTACCAAATTTAGTAATCTTTATATACTTGTACACGTTCGTTCACTATAAATGATTAATCATATGTGCTTTATATGTGCCCGTTTGTTTAATGCAGCGACTGAGAAGATTAAACGAAATGTTAACATCTTGCAACATGTGCCTTCTTTCTCTATTGATGACTTGTGAGTCAGGCAAAATCGACCATTATGGCCTTTAACCATCCCAGAAAATGTCCAATACTGCCATCTTTTCCGAACACAGGCAATGAATTATGGGCACAACTGATCGAATGAGTTCACCACTCAAACAATCTGCTCTGTTAACAGAGAGAGAATTTATCGTAAAGCTAGTAGAGGAGTGCGGACGATAAAGAAGAGGTGCACATCCTCATCAGAGAATCAGGAAGCACATATAAATATTGCGAAATGTTAGTGGTACCCAGTATGAATTTCCCGATGCACAAAACATATCATTTCAAAGTAACAGTCGTCGATGGACCAAAAAGAGGAGCCACAGGGGATCAACATTACGTAACTGTCATTCGAGTGTTCAAGGTAGTAGTAGTCGGAACTAGACTCAATTATTTAATAATAAAAATAGTACTTAAACATACTTCTAAGAAGAATAAAAGTATAATCATTCGTAATAATAATGATAAATCCAACAACCTCGTTTATCACAAATAATACTCTGTAACCTAATTACCTTCTCTACGTCGAATGTACAGCAATCGTACCTAGGGAATGAAAGTCGCTGGCTGAATCTTTTACGGAAAATCTATAATGCGGGCCACCAACGACATATCGCCCCGGGGCTGTGTATTCAAACCGCAACTTCCTCCTCCGACTTTCGAGCATTCCAGTCAGCTATTTCTACTTCTGTATATCAGTGTTTTCCCCCATCCTAATTTATTGCACTTAGTTATTTTCCCTGGACTTCAAAGTCTTACGCCGCGGTCTTACTTCGAATTCTTCTATTCCTGTGACTGATTTAGCTGTGAAACTTTCAGAGTATTGTACAAATTCGTCTGTGAATTTGTGTTAATCAAACGAACATATATAGAACGAAACCCATAGATTTACTGATGAGATCATCCAAGTATCCGCACACATTCGAATGTAGCTTTGATGATCAAGAACCTGTCACGGTGGCTGTGGTGTAACAAGGCCATCATAAAAAGCTGACTGCACAGCCAGTGCTAGTGACGCACAGCGTGTTAGATCATAAATCACACACACACACACACTCACACACAAATCTCCCCATTCCGTCTAGTGCGGTGTTCTTCACTTGAGAACAAATGCACGCATCTTCTGCATCATCCAGGTGACTAATGATTGAATCACGTGCCTTTAGTGACGTCATTACTTTATATTGGTGCGAGTGATTATCACTGCTTTCAAGAGGTGTGAAGCAATCGATGGGGCTGGATTTACTGGTTTAACACGAGTCGTTTGGGCCTGAACCATTACCGAGGTTCGAACTTCCGTAACCACTCTAAAGTCCATAGTGATTTGAATGTTTTATAAATTATCCACAAGTTCACATGCGACATCAACAGGTAGACATCTTTCAATTTATCTCAGCTTTCAAAGAACACTGTGTGGTCCGGCCTAATCAGACATTCAGATCGCTGTGGTATCGGTCAATTCTATGGTTTCTAGTACTGTAAGTTATTCGGTATTTTCTCGAACGAGGAATGTGATGCTAAATCATGCGTCCAAGACAGATATGCACATCAATTATAGATGTGGAGTTATCTTAAAGACTCTGATACTGGTGCTTTTGGGTGGTCTGTTCGAATTCTGTACTGCCTACTTTGTTGGAAACCTGGCACGGATATTCAGACTAACTACGCTATACAGCAGTCTGAGGCTGAGCCCGTTGGATGGAATGAGTCTGAGAGGCCAGTGAAGTCTACCATAACATGATACATGATAATCTTCAAAACGTTTACTCGATCCTCTTGTTTCAACTCCATTTAAAAGAAGCAGGTTTTTCAATCGCCTATCATACCTCCTGACTTTCTATCCCGGTAGCATCCTAGTGGTCAGTGCTGCAACTTCCCTCCAGATATAGGATGTCTTCTTTAAAGATGCTCACGCGTGAACATATTTTTCTATATGTGATCTATCTATGATGGTAAACTGAGTATTGTAAAGTTTCGGATCGCCTGGTGTAGCTATTCTAGTAGCGCTCTTCCAGTTGTTACTCAAGGTGTTCACTCAGTTTCACAAACTATATTGAGAAGATTTAGGCCAATTCGGTTGAGGAATATCTGAAACCTTTAAATTATCATTGTCCTCATTGTCCTTTTCTTCAGTTGCATGAGAAACCTTATATTTACTAAAAGCAGCTACAGCTCCTGTTCCAACTTGTGGTTGGAAAGCTGTCGCTCGATTGTTAAGAGCCTCCAGTTGCACTGAACAGTAGTACTGCTGACAAAATCAGTGATGGAACATATACCCAAGTGGCTGATGACCTCCATGACACAAAAGGTCCAACCCATGCAGTTATAACCAAGATATTCAGCTTTGATGATTGCGCAACCGACACCTCATGAAAACAGGCTGCCAGGTTGTATTGATCAAGCGATCGGTGATTTGACCTCTTCTATTCCGCTACACAGCGCTACGAAAGAAAACCCTGCCCACAAAAATATAACATTGTTTTGTCGCGTTGATACAGAAAGAAGACAACCAATGAGACCGAATCACATGATTGAGTGCACCTGTTACTGTTTTCATGCTGTCCCTAATAGGCGAGTAAAAGAACAGAAAATGTATCGTCAGTTTTCGTCTTGCCATCCATTCTGTAGAGAATGATGCCCCAATTGAACATGTGCAAGTAATTTTGTGAACAATGCAAAATAAATTCCGTTGTCCGTAAGTAGCTAATTTGAGAGAGTGAATTCTTTTAAGTAGTTGTTCAACATAAACCATAGTGACAACAAGGCAACACCGCTTCAAAGTATTTGCAGGTTTTACCTTGGGGATAGTATTTTAATAAAAACGATTAATTTTTAGACTGAACTTCAATGCAGTTTACCCACAGACCAATTCGTAGAAGAGAAGAACACCTTTTTGAAACATGATGCAGAAATGAAACGGTACGGCGGATCTCAAACAGAGATAATGGACAAACCTGAAAACGCATTTTTTGAGCATCTTGCTCTTCACCGATCTCATTCATCTCGGATTCGTCCAAATAGAATAGTCGAGCGAAATCCTCAGTCACCTCCTCACCTTGCTCAATAAACGCACTTGAGTAGGCATCTGACAGTGAACTGGTCGATTGTAGACTGTCTCGTGGTTCGCTTAAACAGGTTGGACTAATGGGACGCATTTTGCTGGGGGACGAGTTACATTCACTCGGGTCCGCTCGCAGCGAAGGATCCGTTGGGGATTCGGTTCCAGTCAGTGGTTGGGGACAGGAAGACTGACGACGCTTTGTTCTTCGTCGGGATTTGCACGTGTCAGGACTCCATCGAAACACATAGCAGGAACCGTTCCCGTAGAAACGTCCACTACTGGCATAAGGATGTGTGTTCAACATGGCCCCGAAGGTCTATCATTGTTGATGTGAACCGAACAAAATAAATTAGGTAGAAGTTAAAAACGCTATTGCAGAATACAACTAAAGTGAAATTATTTCAAGATTCCAATATTAATGTCATTAGCAAGATCATTTTGAATATCCACAATGCTTTTAGTGATCAGATGCAACAAGACTATTCATCACTTGCTTTGTATATATCCATCAACAGTGAACCGATGGATTTCCAACATGAGGACGATCATATCCACTTGATTTGTCGTTGTCTCTTCGCTGCCAACACGCTCATCAAGAAAACTGTAATAGTGGGTAAACTGAATTTTACGGAACAAAACTGATTGTTTTCCTTTTTGACGGGTACTTTGAGGAAAGGCTTTACGGGAAAAAATGTTTTATTCGACAGAGTCGAAAGCGGTTCTTGGATTGATTGATTGATGTGAAGGTCAAACCTAAGTTTGAATGTACATGTTCTATTAATTAACCATCAGATATTCTACTTAGGCGGTGAAAGCAGGTTATAGGCCACAACGTGCAGGCCAACAGCTCAAAAAAGAGACTCTAGGCAAGCAATACGATCAGAACAGAGAGAAGTCCGGTTAGAAGATATCGGCCCATCTTGCAATCGGTGGCCAGTTGATACTTAGGTCTCAGGAATAAAGAAATAAATGGAATTGCTAAATAAAAACTAATATCTAGATTGGCTAAATGAATGTGGGTTAGGGCCAAAGGACTGCCAATTTTAGCTAAAGCTTGATAGGAAAAGGTGAAGATCATTGATCGATTTGATTTTGCCCTATAATTCACCCCAAACTGAATATTACAGGTTTATATAATTGTTTGGATTATTTCCATGCAAGCAGTGAGCACGTACAGCGTTTCAGTAACTTGAAACACCATATACGTGGACACAAATTGCAAGTGACCATATCGAAGTGACCACGAGTAATAGGAAAGGAGACTGGAATATAGTTATTGGAGCCAAAATACCCATCAGAGATCGACTGCACCTGATTCTAACAAACTGACGCGTCTTTTTGTGGCTATTCCTTCCACCTTAATTCAGTTTATCTGGGTTGACGTTTTGGAAAAAGTCGGTCAGATGAGTGAGGGGGAGAACGCCTAACGGAACTTTGTTTGGTCGTTTTTAGAGAACCAAGACTGTTTTTTTGTCGGGTTTCGAGTTTGATTTTTTTATTACACACCAGCGTGTGATGAACAACAGACGAGACGGACTCCATAGTCACGAAGACCTGCTGTTCAGTGATAGGAACCAGCAAAGTGATCGTCGAGACGTAGAGTGGAGAACCACATAAGGCCCCGATAGGTCAGGCGTGGTATAGAACCGTGTGACAGAAAAGCTGTTTATCGCCAAAGTTGGGTGGCGATGGCTGGGCTCGAACCTAAGACCACAGGGTCCGAATGGTTTGGGTGGAAATGCACACTGGGTGATTGAAATCCTTCTCTTGTGCTTCAAATGTCCCAGCTTTCTACTGTGAAAACACATTTCCCTTTCCCTTTTACATCCGATTTAACAACGTTATCCAAGCACTAGGAAATCACACTCAAGAATAGTTGGAGACAATTGTGTCAATTCCCGAAAAGCCTCTGCTTGATGAATTATTTTTTCTGTTTCAGTGTCAAATAGCCAACGTGGTACTTTATGCACTTGACTACTACGGTTCCATGACTGAGTTATTTGTATAAATGTTTTCTCAGCACTCGTGACTACTTCGAAGAAGAAACTCGTCATGTATGGTGCAAATGAAGAGTGAACTGGAAGGCGAGGAAGCATGCCACCCGTTCTGCATGCTTACCTTCTGCCTGTGAGATCCTGTGTTCGACCGCAATTGGGTCTATGGATTTGCACTGACCCAACCAGGTCGAAACAGTTGTCCAGTGCTTCCTAGCTTTGAAGTTCAACCATTCGCTCTGTAAGCGCCGAATTCCTTTTGCGAAATTGAATCAAATCCTCCATTAATCACATGCAACTGGTGACTATATTTAGTCCGTGCCATTGTGTGATCTTTAACTAGTTTTGCATTCCTGATGTCAAACTGTGAAGCATAGTGACTTACATGCATTTCGCTGGGCATATTGAACACTATTAGACTTCAAGTGAGTAATGGAGGATTTGATTCAACTTCAAAGGTGTATTCGACGTGTATATACCAAACGAAGCGTGTGAACGCTTCCAACCGAGTCATAACTCCGGAGGCTAGTGCTGAGATGAGCACGGTCTGTGGCCTGCAACAAGCTCCAAAGATGGGTTGTGCTATATCGTGTGAATGGAAAACGAAAAACAGTCTGATCAGCTGCCCGGTGGCCGAATGGGTAGCATGCTTGCGTTCTTCCCTTGGGGTCCCAAGGTCGATGGATTCGCACAGCTGATGAGACCCAACCATGTCAAAACAGCTGTCCATTGCTTCCTAGCTTTTCAGTTCACGCTTCATTTGCTATATACACGACGAAATTATTTTTGAAAATGAAACTGTTAGACTTGACTGTGATAATGCAATGGAAACCAGGGTGCAGATATGTATGCGTTGTCCGAAGTATATATTTTGTATACACGAAAGTGCTAAGAAATACAGGCTAACGGCTCGCATAGAAATATAACGATTTGCTGGTTTGTTGTGGCGCGGGCTGACGGAGAAGAGCTCAAGCAAGGATTGAAAATTTTGCAAAACAAGATGTCATCCTCGGGAAATAAACTCCTGATATTTTACAATTAATATTTATCAGATTTCACTCTTATTTTACGATCTGATATGAGACAAGATAGCAAACAGTGGATCCGTAAATAGA